TTTAAACCTTTTAGAATAACGATTCTAGCAATACTTTGGAATAAACTTTCTCTAGTTATTTCCCCAGTTGAATAAGTCTACAATTAGAAATTCTTTCATTGCTGGCTACTCTAATTCCCTGAAACAAGCATGTAAGGTTTGTTGTGCTGGTACCAATAGGGAAAGAATGATAGAGTGGAGATAGATCATGAGATCATCTAATCCACACTAAAATCATGCAGAGTACATGGTTCTGTAGTCAAAGATTTCCAAGGGATTTGTTAACACCAGCAATTGCAGTATGACTAGGCCCATGACAATAAAGGAGGCTTGCTTGCCTTTCTGATCAAGAATCATTGCAATATCAAACAAAGGATGAATTCTTTCCTAAGAAGCTTATGACTAACTCAGGTCTCTACAAGCATTCCAGGAACAAGATTCTTTTTGGTTACCAAGATCATAAGTGTGATTTTGGCCCAGAGGCTTAAAAACGAAGTACATATGCTGTGTCTCATTTGTTCTGTGGGCCATTTCTCTTTTCATTCCTTTGCTCCAGATTTTTTTTTCTATCCTTGTTATGTTGAGAAAAAAACTAATACAAGTATTTTTCGCTGGCTTACTTGAATTAACCTCTTAAACAGCTAACATATTTGAACTGACAACCATAAAAAATAATTAACAGAGAAAGCTCTTGCCTGCTCTACATTTTCTAGCTCCTACTCCATTATTTTTAGCTCTGTGACCTTGGGCAAGTCATTTAAATTCTCTGGGCCTCAGTTTCCTCTTCCGTATAAAACGAGAAAATGAGTCTAGATGGCTGAAAGAGTCTCTTATGGCTCCAACAGTCTATAACTCAATCTATCATAAAGCAAAATTGTGACATTTATCAAGAAGAAAGGACAGTGGGAGGGAAACGCGTTAGGAATTTTTTCTCATTTCTCCCACTCCCACAAATGCTGCAAATGGCTGAAGTCAGTGACTCAAAACTTTATTAGGTATGTTAATCATCTGGGTGAAGTTTCACACAAAGCTTATGTATTTGAAGCTAGTGGAGAGAGATTCTCAGCTACAATCTTATTTTTCCTATTTTTGACCAGTTTCAAGACTTGAAACTTGTTCTATTTTAGAATAGAGCGCTGAATTAGATATCATGTGTTCGTTTCTCAGGAAATAACAGCTAACTGAAGTTAACAGTTAACATTTGTATTGACTTCTTTCTTCTATTAATAAAACATAACTTTTCATTCCACGCCCCCCCCCACAATTTTTGTGATAAATGTGCTTACTCCTTCAAATGCCTAGTATTTCTTTCTAATGCTCCTTTGTTGAAATCCTCCAAACATGATCTAAATACTCACACTCCAGGAAAAAAATATTGCTAAAGATTTACTTTTAATGATTCCATTCCATATACACAAACAAACAGAATCTTTTCTCTTAAAGTCCAACTCTTTATCTATGGCTTTGAGGGTGGAGAGAAGAGGAGAATATTTTATTGATAAACTTCCTACTGCTATTCTTAAGATTTCCTCAAATGGCAGAAAAAACTATGGCAATTAGAAAACTATCGGAGAGGTCTGATAATAATAAAAAATATCGAATTTTGGTTAGATAGTGTAATTAGCAGACTGGGAAAAGAAGCTAATATAAAAGGACTAGTTATGTTTCATTTCCTGAATTTTGATGTCTCAAAATGGAAACATTTTGTCCACTTCCCATTTTGTGGAGCTATTGCAAAAATTTCCTGCCATCACAAATCTTAGAGATAGTTTTACTTAAAAGTTGTGTGTGGAAAGCCTCTATATTTATGCCAAAGTGCCAATGTGACTTGGTTTCATGTGAAAGATCGAGAAGCATATCTTTTCTATTAGACGATGTTAGGAACCAGCCTTGGGGATAAATTAAATCTTTCAAAGACAAAAAATACTTCATTTTAACTGTCACTTGCTTAGTATGTCAGGCTGATGCAGGTTAGGTTAGCTCAGTGACACCACTGAGCATTGTTAATCATTGCAAATAAATTGTGCATGGACAGATAATACCTGTAAGAAGTGCTGGTGACCAATTACAATGCTCATGTTTATATTTTTCTATCACTGCTTAAAAAGTAAATAAATTTAAATTTTCCACAGAATCTATAAACCTGATTTATACAAAGTTAAAAAATTTACCCATATTATAGAACCAAAATAATATAAATTGTTTTATATCTTTTATTGGTAGAATATACAAATTCACAGGACATTCCAAACCAAGCATCTGTGGCTTTCAACTTTAAAAAACCCCTCATTTTCCAGTTTGTTTTCAGGGTATTAATATTAGATCTTGTTTGAAGATTAAGAGTATACTACAGATTGCATTGATCTCAACAAGAGGAGAAAATAATATATTTTTCTTTAGAGTTCCTGGTGGTAACCACAGAAAGAGCCAGTAACTTGACAAATACAATAATGTCTGCGTGAAAATCACGATTGAAGGACATAATTTTTAAGATTAACCCATAAGGATACTTTCCAGGTATATCACTTATTTTCTAAACTGCCCTGCTTTGAGGAGACCTCTCTGGAGAATAATTCAAACAATAAGAAAACAAACTTTAAAACATTAGATAAGACATTCAATATATTTTTCTTCAAAATATATTTCACTGACTTTGTAGCTATTCCAGGTAAGAAGGCACTAGTTTTATACTGGAATTTAGACATTTTCATTAGTTCAGTAGTCTTAATTTTACAAAACCTATACTTGGCTGAAGCACTAAGAAGAGTCATAAGATTAAATATTGTCCAACATTATTCTCTACTCCAGACAATATTATCTTTTTGTGTTCCAACCCTTGGATCTTCCACATAACTGGTACATCTCATACATGATATAGATAATAGCTCTTTTAATACTCTTAACCATTAGATATGTGTCCAAGAGAACCTACGTGAACAAATAGAGAAGTACCTTCATTTTTTTGCCTAGAAATGAAGAAATTCAGAAATATTTCTGAAAAGGTAATTTAGAAAGATTCTCATTTAGGAATCTACCCGTGTATCAGCTGCCTGGCGGCCCTAGTCATCCAGTTTGCTTGGTGTTCTTTGCCCTACAGGCACTGAATGGAAATGGTCCCACTTTTGCCCCTACCCCGGGTCTCACATATAGTGTGAAACATAATTTTCTTGTTTCCTTTGCTCCCACCCCACTTCCCAGTAAAGGTGTTGAATGTCAGGGGGGTTGTCCTCCCCCCTTTATTCTTTGTTCTCCGTTCCTACTACTGCCGAATCATCTCTTTCACATCCTTCCTCTTGTAGCTATCCTCTTCTATCCATTCTGCATGGACACAAATGTGAAACACATGCGTTTTCATTTGTTTCCCTAAACACATTCACACCAGGCAGTTGGTTTCACGATTTGGGTGTACATCTTGGGATGTGAGGACATTACATCACAGCACAGCATGGCAAATAATGTTAAACTGAACATCAGACATCCCCGTTCATTGGCAGTACTTGCCACTAGCCAGCACTTGTGCTCAGGATCTAGCTCCTGATGTCTTGCTGGGCCATCTTCCCCACCTCCTGTTATCCTCCACTGCTTCTTCTGGTCTTGGAACACTTAATTCATCCATCTCTGGCTGAAGCAAAACATTCTTCTCACTTTATTGTGCAGGCAATATTTTCTTTGTCCAATTTTTAGCTCATTTTAGACAAGCTCCAAATGCAGAACCGAAGATGGATCACCAAGATGTTTTTACTAACCAAGTTAGATTTTTCTGTGAGGAACTCTGTCACCTGCTTTTGAGTTATCCGCCCACCCCTACCTGCCCCCCAACACACAGGTTTTGAGGCACACTCTACGTGCCATAAGGTTTTGAAGGCCCTGGGGAGAGACCTGGAATTCATTCCCATGATCTCCCTGTTCCCTCTTGACCGTATCCAAACCCCAAGCCCTGCTAATTCTACTTGGAACATCTCTTCCCTCTGCCGCTTCCCTAATCCAAACCAGCATTGTCCTTTCATGGGATTAGAGTAACAGCCTCCTAACCTATTGTTGGGAGGAAAAACTCATCTTCTACCAATTTAGGTCCGAGTGGTCAGAGGCCTGCAAATTAATTGATAATAGACAGATTAACAGGAGAAAAGTTTATTTTCACGTGCACGTGGGAGAACTTCATAAGAAGTGACTCCCCAAACCCTAGGAATAAGGGTTTCGATACCAGCTTAATGAAAGGGGTGGGGGGAGTGAGTTTAGGGTTTCAAAGGATGGAAGGTTCTGATGAGGCTTGTTTACAGAATTTTTTGGACTGTCCCGGTGCCTGAGGCCAGAATCACCCTGAGTGGAGATTTCCCCCGAGAGGGGCCTTGCGGCAGCTGACTCCCGTAAAGCTCTGCTATCTCAGATAAGGGCAGTTCAGATAAGATTCCTTTCTGCAGATGTTTTCACTCTGAAGTAACTTTCATGCTGTTTTGGGGGGTGGTTGGTCCCTGTACTATCTCCCTACATCCAGTCTTCTTCCCACAGATCTGTTCTCCACACTGAAGCCAGAATGATATTTCTAAACCATCTGATCATGACACTCCCTTTCTTAAAAACACTTCAGTGGCTCTTCCCTGCCAAGGATGATTTATAATCCTAGATTTACCACCTGCCTACTAAAGCTTAAAGAACAAAGGAGTAAAATGGTATAAATCTAACCTATGTGGGCAGAGTTGATTTACATGGCAGGAAAGGTGAGGCAAGATGGGTAAATTATGACAGACAAAAAATTAGTCTTTAGTGCCATCCCATGTTTTGTATCTATGCTTCTCAGATTTTACTTCTAAAATCAGTGCTTCAGACAGTGTGCCAGGTACCAAATCTTTTTCTCTTTCCTTCAATTTTAATTAACATTTCATTCCTTTAGGGCCTTCCTGAAATGCCTGGCTAAGTAAGTTCATTAGCTTATTCTTATGAGTGTTAGTAAGTTAATGTACTATGCATTTCCACATACAATGTTTCTATTTTAATAAGGTCCTTCATGACTTATTCCACAGGATGACCTATAAAAGGCATTTCAGACCCTGAAGCAACAAGCTGAGGAGAAAATTTGAGCAAATGGGCTTTTGAACACCTCTTAGACCCCCAGCTCTTCCTCTGCCTGTGAATAGAACTGGCCCTGAAGGGAAGAATTCTATTGCCTTTGTATAATCTGTACCCCTCAGGAGAGGGTTTCAGGCTACTCTGAATAACCCTATTACATAGCACAACTTCAGTGTACCAACAGTGATATTTTGCTATCCAGCTGTGATTCCTGCTTACTTGAATTGTCCATTTGTTTTTTTTAAAAAATAGCTTTATTTAGATATAATTTACATACCATAAAATTCACCCATTTAATGTATACAGTTGAGTAATTTTTAGTATTTTCTCAGAGTTGTGCAACCATCACTACTATCTAATTTTCAAATATTCTCATCATCCCCAAAAGAAACCCTGTACACATCAGCAGTCATTCTCCATTCCCACCTCTACTACCCCAACCCAGCACTAGGTAACAATCTATTTTCTGGCTCTATAGATTTGCCTATTCTGGACTTTTCATACAAATGGAATCATACAATATGTGACTTTTTGTGACTGGCTTCCTTCACCTAGCATAATGTTTTCAAGATTCATCCATGTTGTGGCATGTATCAGTAATACTTCACTCCTTTTTATTGCTAAATAATATTCCATTATATGGATGTACCACCATTGTTTATCCATTCATCAGTTGATGGACATTTGGGTTGTTGCCACTTTTTGTCTATTATGAATAATGCTGCTATATATAATGCTTGCTGTTACTGTGCAAGTTTTTGTGTGGATACATGTTTTCAATTCTCTTGGATATATCCTTGTTGGGGAATTGCTGGGTCATATGGTAATTCTATGTTTAACATTTTGAGGAACTGCCAAAGTGTTTCCAAAGTTGCTACCCCAGTTTTTATTCCCATCAGCAATGTATGAGGGTTCCAGTTTCTCCACATCTTCACCAGCACTTGCTATTGCCATCCTCGTGGGTGTAAGGTGGTATCTCGTTATGGTTTTGATTTGCCTTTCCCTAAGGACTAACTATGTTAATCATCTTTTCATGTGCTTATTGGCCATTTGTGTATCTTCCTTGGAGAAATGTCTATTCACACCCTTTGCCCACTTTTTTATTTTTTTTGTGAGGAAGGCTGGCTCTGAGCTAACATCCATTGCCAATCCTCCCCTTTTGCTGAGGAAGATTAGTCCTGAGCTAACATCTGTGCCCATCTTCCTCTATTTTGTATATGGGATGCTGCCACAGCATGGCCCGACGAGCAGTGTGTAAGTCTGTTCCCAGGATCCAAACTGGCAAACCCTGGGCTGCTGAAGCGGAGCATGCGAACCTAACCACTACATCACTGGGCCAACCCCCTTTGCCCACTTTTAATTGTGTCATTTGTCCTTTTATTATTAGCAAATTATTTATCTTTATATATTCTGTATATAAGTTGTTTGTCAGATACATAATTTGCAAATATTTCCTCCCATCCTATGGGTTGTCTCTTCACTTTGTTATTGGTTTTTTTGAAGCACAAAAATCTTTAATTTTGAGGAAGTCCAATTTGTCTATTTTTCCTTTTGTTGCTTATTCTTTTGGAGTCATATCAAAGAAAATATTGCCTCACCCAAAGTCACCAACGTTTACATTTATGTTTTCTTCTAAGAGTTTTATAATTTTAGCTTTTAACTTTAGGTCTAGGATCTGTTTTAGATTAATTTTTGTATATGGTGTGAGGTAGGGATCTAACTTGATTTCTTTTTCATGTAGGTATCCAGTTATCCCAGCACTATTTGTTGAAATTGCATATGCTTCTACACCATCTACTAGGAAGCTGTTAAGTTAGCAGTTATGTTAGCTCTCTGTCACTGAGTATCCCAGCAAGCAAATTCAACTCTGGGAGGCTTCAGGTATCAGTATTTGATTCTGTAGATTTGTATACACTGTATATCTCTTCTTGTTTCTGATTACTTTGGGAGTTTTGTTCTGTTGAATATCTTAGGTGCTTGTATGTATTTCTCTTCCCCAAAGTAAACATATCATTTACTATATTTAAGTTTAAAATGGGTTAAACTGTTATAAGTAATTAATTCTTGGACCCACAAAGAGCTAGCAATTCATCCATTTATTTCCTCAAGAAAAATTTATTGAGTACCTACTAGGTACCATGGATATAATGCTGTAAGTATAGTAATGAAAAAAATATAGTCCTTGTCCTCAAGGAACATATTCTAGAAAGAAGAAGCAGAAAAAAAAGTAGACGTATAACATGTGAGGTGTTAATACATGTTAAGAAGAAAATTGAAGCGGAGTAAGAGAGTAGAGAGTGATACAGAAAGGGGTTGCTAGTTTACATAGAGTGGTCAGAGGTCTCTTTGGCTAACGCAACACTAATCAGAAACTGGAAGGTTGCAGAGAACTATCTGTGCAGATATACTAAGGAAGAGTGTCCCATGCATCCAGAGCAGCAAGTGCAGTGACCTGAGGTGAAACGTGCTTGGCTCAGTTCAAATTTTCCCCCTCCTTCTGTATTTCTAATGCAAACAGCATAATTTCTGTGCATATCCCAATTTCCCCAGTTTCTTTTCTAAAAATATTTTGCCATAATGGATTATAAATTGTACCATCTCCAAGAAGATTCAGTTTAGATAATGTTCAAAATTAGATAAATTTAAAACTAAGACAAAAAATCCAAAACATCTTCCTACATTACATTTTGCATCCTTGCTCAAGCACTGTTTCTGATGTTGCAACTTCAATCCAATTCAACACACTTAAAACTGAACGCCTACGGTGATATTTCCCAAATCATAATTAGTGGACCATATCCGTGGTTCAGAACTTTCACTAGGGACTTGACAATAGTTTAAGCAATTAAAGACAGTCAGGTCTCAGTAATTTATGACAACTACGTTCGTATTCTGACAATAGAGAATGTAGTGAATTCCACCGGGATGACTTAATTCCAAGGAGCTGTATGTTGAGGAATCTGAATGGCTTAAGAACAGCCTACCTTGGGGATCGTCGGCTATGACACAGTGGGTGTGTATCATGGGGTTGGTTCATCATTTTTACCAAATATGGCTGTGGTAATTCCATGACTCTCTGGAGTTAATGTTAGACAATCAGACATTGTTGATTATATACCGTGTTCCTACTGTATCCAAAGAGAAGACATACTTGCTATGAAAATTTCCATGTATTTTACAGCCATTACATTTCTTAAAAAGTCATCACTTTTCAGGAGTAATGCCCTAAAAGTCAATGCCCAATCTTTCTCTATTTCTCCTTGCCCATCTTTGTGATCTCTATTTCAGATTACCTTAGGCAGTTGGCAAATCTTAAGTGGCCTGGATATGCGAAAGCAAGATGCTTTAATACCTTTGATATTTAAACTTGAAATATTCCAGAATGCCCTAAACTAAATTAAAATGCAATTATGGAATGCCCTCTTGCCTTTCATCAAATATATTCAATTCCTACCCACTGCCTAAGGTAAAATAATCCTTCCTGCCCTGAACTCACATTAACACTCTTTTTGTTGCTTAGCACTTCTTATGTCTTATTTTCCACACTGTATTATACATCTGTCCCTTGACTGCCATCACATAGGAGCATATCGGAGGGCTGTAGAGGGTTCTCAGTGAATATTTACTAATGTATTATTATTATGGCTTGGAAGTATTAGGGAGATAAATATCAGAATCATCCCATGGAGTTCAACTTTGTTTCTATTTTGGTTTTTCAGTTTTGTGTGCTTAATTTGTATGGCTTTGGTTAAAAATATAGGAGAGGAGGAGTGGGAAGAAAAGTTTCAAGTGTGTTATTCCTTTAGGAATATTTTTTCTTTGGTTATACCTGCCCTGTGGTCAGAAATAGAATTCAACTTTTAAAAAACCCATTGTATTGAGTCCTAATGGCTATTTCCTCTAAATGTGGCTGGAATGATGGTCTTTAAAGGGTGTTACCAGATTAAGTCTTTGCCAAGTTAAGGAAGGTGGAGCTGTGTGGGAATGAGGCTTTGTTTAATCAGGCTGTATAATGTTTTGCTGAGACATGTTGGGAAAAGGCAATCCAAAGTAATGTGGACTCAGTATGAAATCAGTCTGAAGCACACCTTAAAAAATTTAGAGAGCTTTTGCCATCCTCTTGGAAATTCATATACCAGAAATGCTAGGGAAAATTAACTCAATATACATACAGTCCCTGCCCTAACGTTTGTGGGACTTGAAAAAGAGTACAAATAGAGGCTCATGTATAATATATCAAGTTATAAATCATGGTAAATATCTTTAAATGAAGTGTGTTCTATCTTCCTACCTTAAAAAATATACCTTCAGGCTAAATTCAAATTTAAAATTCTTTGATACCTTGATGCTCTGTGTTTAAAAAGTGAAGATCCTGGGAGAGCCTGCCCCAAAGCCCATAGCCCAGCCCCACTCTCTTCCCATCCCCAGCTCCATCCCACAAGGTGAGAGATTTCAAGAGTATTCATGTGGATACATGTACCCACATATCCATATCAGAGCCCCTGCAAACAGCTGTGGCTTGGGCATCCCTCAGGTCTAGGGGTGTTTCACACAGATGGAACAATGCATGCCTGGGAACAGATCTGGGGAAGAAGCTAAAGCAGGCTCATGGCCCTTTGGGTGGGGAATTCTGGGATTCCAAGTAACCAGAGAAGGCATAGAAGGGGGCATGGCTCAGGCTCTGGGTGGGCACAATTCTTTAGTTCCTGAGTTCTTCGTCTTGTGCAGAGGGCTGTAGTCAGAGCAAGAGCGGAGAGATTCTCTGAAACCTAAGGCCCAGAACAGAGGGCCCTCTTGCCTGGGTCAAAGAGCCATACTCTGTGTGTGTATATATATATGCGTGTGTATATATATACGCGTGTGTATATATACCAAGCACTGCTGCCTACATGTCTTTTAAAGATACAGAAAATTTAACATACGATCATGTATTGATTATCTTATCTAAGGGAGAGGTATAACCTTACAGATGATTTAAAAGGATGAGCATTACAACACATTTGAGATTGGGTGCACTACAACAATTACTTGACTATGGATATCTAAATACTTCAAACAAATAATGATACATTATAAAATAATGAGATTGAAGTCCCTCTCAGAAAGGCCTGGTAAGTTATTGTTTCCCTTGTCTATGTACTGAAGGATCAACTTCATCTCACTCTTTACTGCACTGCTTTGCACTGTGGG